TCGCTGTGGGTGTTTGTGTGCTGGCTCAAAAAAGTGCCTGAAGATGACTGTTTTTCTAACGTTAAACTTTATCAATAAATAATATAAAAGTAGACTGCATATCAAAAAAATACCCTGCTGAAACAAGGAAAAATGAAAAGCGTCTTTCTCAAGGCAAAGTGGAAATGAATCTAAATCAGTGTCCTGTTTAATGGCGTCTGTTTGGCACCCTGTGGTGAGCAAGGAGGACAGCAGGCGTGAGTATGGCCTGTCCCATAGCCTGAGGACAGAAGACGAATCGCTTCTGTCTCCATGATGCAGCCTTTTATCATAGAAAAAAGAGCCACACAACTAACTGCAGCAGGAAGGGAGCGGCCCCTAAACAAACATCCCCGTTAAGTTGTGGTCTTTATTAAATTGCACAGAATTTCGTTCCCCTTTCTTTTCTCATGTTACGGAGAAAAGAAAGGACAGCTAAAGCAGCAAGTCAGAGAGGGAGGATGCGGAGTAAGGCGCTGCAGAGGAGTCTCGTCTAACCGTCGAGTCTCATGTGAGAAGAAAAAAGACAAAAAGAAAAAGTGAAAGACTGTGAAAGGGGAAGCGAGCCCAGCAGCAAGCCTGATTTATTGATGGGACGTGCTGTTGGCATCCAGAGACTTCCTCTAAGTCAGGATGCCAGTTTAGCAAGGAAAACCTTTTTTTATGTGGGGTAGGATTTAACAGAGGAACTTAAAAAAAAAGAGGTTTGGGGCTAAAAAATAAGAGATTTCTGGGAGCGAGGGCCCTTTTCAGAGATGCTAACACACTGTGTCAAGAGTGTGTGTACACAGGATTTAAATGGCATTGTGGTTCCTGCTGTTACTACTGCTGAATACTGATGCTTCGTCATGGCTGTCAGGAGGCATATTTGGGAAAACAGTACTCATGATTAGTTTAAAAGTCACAGACTGAGGTTTGAACCATAGGCTGTATATAAAAGATGGGCGTAGCTTCCAGGTTTAAAGTGAATTACGCTGGCATTATCTCTAACGAACAGCAGGGGGAGACCCATCTAGTATGCACTCTCCCGATTAGTTTTGCTTCTCATTCGTTAGCTCAAAGTCTTAATGAATTCAGGATAATGTTAATTTTGTACATTACGGCCCACTAAGAGTAAAAATGGAGGGTAAAATGGGGCATGCTTTACCACATGGTGATGCCTATAAGCATGCAGTGCCTCTCGGGTCCTCAGTCAGACCCACCCTTGGCTTGTCATTTCCACACCAACTGTGGCTTTAGCTAAGGAAGTAGACTAGGTCGCCTGCTAACAGGGGGTCGCTGGTTAGGTCACCAGCTCCTCCAGTCTGCTCTCAAAGTGCAGAGCAAGATACTGAACCCCCAAGTTTCCATCTAATACCATGATCATAAAAAAAAAAGTCTAAAGGCATAAATGATGTTTATGGATTTAGCTTGTACTGTAAAATTGAGTGTTGAGAGGAAGAAATAAGTCCTTTTATTTAAATGCTGAAGTTACTGTTACTTACCTATTAACCCCCACCCCTCATTTGTTTTGGACTTAACATGGATTTTTGTGCCATATTAATTTATTTCTTAATAATATTTTCCCTTGAAAAACAGACAAGACAAAAACTTTAAAAGCATTACACTCATCAGCTGTTCAGTAATGTGCTTTACGTGACATTAATACCAATAAGATAATAAGATTTGTAAAATATGCACAAATCCTACTGATATTATCATCTTAATATATGTTGTTATTTGTTTTTTTATGAGCTTTCTGTTAACCTTAATCAGATATTGGTAACTGTCATATCATCAGGATATGATAACGGACGTACGGCAGATGTGGTTTGTCACTAAACTTCAGCAGTTAAAACTGATTTCTAAAGTTCGAAATCTCATAGACACTTGTCTGGATGTTCTCACACGTAAACACTTGACAGTGGTCGGGCGAGTCGGGTCAAGATTTTTGGCCTCATTCTCAAATTTCAGCATTTATCAATATTTTCTAACCTTAACTACCATAATTACCAGTTTTCCAAGCCAATGTACAGAATAATAAGGAATTAAATGTACAGCTTTAAACAAAACATTTTTATAGACCTATTCCAATAGGCAGCTCTTTCGCTGAGGTGTGATCATACTTTGGTTTTCAGTGCTTAGTAAATACAACAAAATTCATTAAAGACTTAGATTTTTGTTGGATGCCATCACTTACAATGTCGCCTTTGGCTATAACCCATTTATGGATGGGTTTTTTAATCATCCTCCACCTGCTTCTTCCTTTTGCTCTCTTTTTGGCATCAGCTTCTTTGTTACCTTAGCCAAAGTGCACAAGAGAGAGTAATTGTCTTCATAGTGTACACTAGAAGAATCAAGATTCTTGTTTTTCTTTACACTGTATGTCTGTATGTCTGTATGGATAGATATACCTGCTTGTATTTTTTGGGTAGTGGTTATAGAAACACTGTAGGATTACTGATCTACTGGACGGGTGGATATATTTCAGTGTATAATGCTGAAAATAAACAAACTGAACTCTTACTTTATGAAGGTGAACCTAATACAACATGTGTATATAATGCACAGTTCACCTTATTTATTGCATCCTCTTTTTATGGTCACAGACAGGCTGAATTTTGAACCTTGTGTTTAATTGCAGTCATTATATTGTTACACATCTTTTAATACATATTTATGGAGGCAGGAGGTCTGTCCACACTTAAAACCATTTTAACTTTCAATCAGTTTACAAGTGGTTTAGTATTATAGTTCGGCAAGATTTCTTTATCCTCTGTGCCACACCTGGAAACGCTCCTGTTCCGACTATCAATTACAGAGAGGACATAAAGGATCCGGGGGAAAGAAGTTTTATAATATAGGTTAACTGCGAGCTCTGAGTGGTGGAGGGCGGCCTTGTGATGGAGATTAGAGCAGATTTAGATCACGGCCTGCAGAGTTGATGGAGCCAGGTACAGCAGGTTAAGAACAGTCAGCTGATCGCCTCAGGGAAGACACAGACAAACAGCAGGTTTGTCTGTGTGTGTGTGTGTCAGTTTTGAATGCCATGGCAACTCAGGGGGAAAAAATACAAGCTTTTTGAGTTTGCAACGCCTACATCCGACCAGAAGACAGAAATAGTAACTTATTATAAACCATTTATAGACTTTCTGCCAACTTCAAAATAAAGCCCTCAGGAAGAGAGCTGCACACTTGACTCCAGAAAAATCATGTGCAGTAGGCGTGTACTGATGGCAAGATGGTGTATTTGCATATGTTTGTGCTTTTTAATTCCTGTTAGCTTTCAGAAATGGAAGATGTATTTTAGCTTTAATTTGTATAAACTAGTGAACTAAGCTTTTTTTCTGTAGCCACAACATCTGACATGCAGGCAGTAGTGTGTGTAAGTGTGTACGTGTTGCTACTAATAAACATAAAATGCATTCAGTGAGCCAGAGGAGCTGAGCTAATGTTGATAAATAATCAAATAGTCAAGTCACCTTCAATCCAAAACAGTCGCTGAATGACACAAAGTGCAGAACAGGAGAAACACAATCGCAAAATCTGAGGATATATTGACAGGAGTACTGACACAGGTGAGGCCCACACACAGTAGAAGAAAAGCCAGAATGGATGTTTCCTGAACTTGCATTTCTTTGAATAGCCAGCAGGGTAGCTGGTTCAGGATGTGATGATACGGTGGCTACGAACGTCTTTTACGTCCAGTCTACAAGAGAATGGTTTTTGAGAGCTGTGAAAAATGGGCAAACACATACAGAGATACCTGGATTTGTCGGCAAGATAGGCAGATATGATTGCAGCACAGCTGATGCACATACATGTTGATCACATCACCTGTAGATTTCAGTACAGGCGACAGGAGACAGGTGGTGAGATGTCTCCCTTTAGAATAAATGCTCCCTGACAGCTTAAACCTCTGTTGCATTCATTACACAGCCCAGCAAAGTGCGAGGGCTCGTCTCACCCCGCAGATCTGTGTTTGCAAGCCTCTGAAGCATTGCCAGACAGGCGCGTCTCGCCGCATACTCTGAGACAATCAATCACAGGCCCTCGAGCTCCTGCAAGGCTGCCACCTGTCCCACTTAGAGGGCACACAAAGTACAGCACACGTAGCCTCAGATGAGTGAACAAACTGCAGCTGGCTCTGCAGGAATCCTAATTAAAAGCTTTGCTGAATAAGTTATGAAGAAGTGGGTTTGCATCGAGTTAAACTGCCATGACTGCAGTGTCATCAAATGACTGAGACACGCGATGCTCAGTATCGACAGTATAATTACGCAGCAATAAGGAAGTAATAACCTGTTCAGTTTAACTGGGCTCATAAAACGAAGCCTTCTTGAAGGAGCCTGCTGCGAGTGTCAAGTTCAAATCTGTGCTGGGAAAGGAGAAGTTTGGCCTGTAAACAAATCAGGTTTATAAGTCAAGGCGGCGTTGCGTCAAATTATTCTGCCAGGAAGTAAATAAATGCATGTTGGTAGAATTTGAGGTATTTCAGTTGTAGAAAGCGATTACAAGAAGCTCAATGCTGATTTCAAACAAAAACGCTTGAGTGAGATGCTGAATCTGGTGATGAGGTGTTATTGGTGTGTTTGTTAGCATTAGGAGTATTTCCAAGCAGATAACCAAGGGATTGGTATTTATTTATTTATTTTTACTAAAGATAGGAAGTTACTCCAATTTAGAAGAGATTAATTTGTGTAGATGCTCCTGATCCAAATCCGGGAACTTCTGGAAAGATTCTTTATATTTATTGCAGGATATTGTGGGGCATAATTGGACATTTCACATCATATCTTCGCAAAAACATCAAGTTAAGAGACAGGAACTGAGCTCTTTGATAATGGTCATACATGTATGTTTCACTCAACATGAAACATACATGTATGACCATGTGGATTTACAGCAAAGGACTTTATATTTTAAGAGTTTAAATATTCGTAAGTACAGATGTTTAAAAAGAACAGCAGGTGATCACACCCATTTTTCTGCACATCTTTCAGCTGAAGATCTCCTTCAACGAGTCCAGCCTCCAGAGCACCTACGAGTATCCATCAGAAAGCAGCGTGTGGGACAGCGGGGAGGAGGAAGAGGAGGACAAACAAGATGAGAAGTTGGCAGACGAACAGCCAAGCATGGTTGGACGGATCCACATCCCTCGAGCCAGTTTGACCGGCTCGCCCTCCCACACCACCAACAGCAACGGTGAGATTTTGTGAGACAAAGAAGAGCTGGCTGTCAAATCTCCTTCATATACTCATGTTCCTCAGAGGATGACGATGAGGATTATTATTATTTTATTTATCTTCATCACAATGTACCCTAAAATCCACTGGCTCAGATTGTACTTAATGGCACAGCTTGCAAGATAAGTGCATTTGCAGTCGCACTTATCTTGCAAGTTTTTTGTTTGCAAGGACAAACTTTTTCAGTTTTAGTTTTAGTTTTAAATTCTCACTTCAGACGTTAGAGGGTTACCTAGGCAACCAGTGCCTGGAGAGTTTGCAAGCGACCAGCCATGTAAATCAAACTTATCACAGCGAATCACCTTTCATGATTGATCCAGTATTTTTAGTAGTGGGAGAAATTAACTACCTTTAAAAAACACACCCCTACTTTGTCTTCACTCTTGAGCTGCATTTACTGAACTTTTACTGTGAGCTGCTCCCAGATTAACTTAAAACCTTTACAGCAGTTTGCTTATCATGACAAGTTATATCACTTAAAAACATCAGGCTAGCCTGTCTGCATGAGCATGTTTGGTCAGTTTTCATCTTTAAGGCTTTAGGCTTTCAGTGCGAGCATATTTGTCATATGTGTAGCCTCATAATAATTTTAGAATGAGTTAAAAATCATGTTAATTGTTGCCAACATAGCTATGCTTTTAGGTTTATTCAAAATTAATTTAGGCAAAAACACCTACCAGACAGAGCACGTGCCACATTCTGATGCAAATTAGATAAAGCAGATGTTAACAGAATTAAAGGTTTAGCACTAAAAAACACTGCATGTGGAGCAGAGATTAAAATGGTGAAGTGCATTCGCATCCTAAATGAACTGAGGCTAGGCTAGTGGTATTTTTATCTTTTTTTCTTTTTTCTTTTTTTTTTTAAGGGGGCTGGTTTAGTTTGTTTGGGTTTTTTGGGGGTATTTATATATCTGGGCAAAATGGCACTGAAAGATCAGACTGCTAATCTGACTACTTACCTACATGCATAGATCCAGTTTTATAAAGCTTTTAGCATTCTGCAAGTTCATATTAATAAAACAGCAGATTTCAAAACTGAAGAATTTGCGAGCGCTTCCAGAGATTAAAGAGAGCTGCCGATGTGCAGAAGGAAGGGAAGATGCTGTGTAAAGTGCAAAGCTAGTCCAATCAGGTCATTACTGCTTTGTTTTGCCATCATCATCCTCCTCATTTGTATGGAGGTAAAGTGAGTATGTAAGCCACAATAGGTGTGATGGCAGAGCCCCCTACTGGCTGTCCTGTTTACTACATCTGAGAGCAGCTGACTCACTCAGATATAATAAGCCCTTCAGCTAACAAGTGGATCCTGTAATAGCAGCATTTTTAGCCTTTTTAGGTAAAAAAGAAAAAAAAACTAAACCGGTGATTTTTGTATGTTTGTTAAACGTGATGACTATCGTGTCTCCTCTGGGTTACATAATGAACTATATTGTGCTTTGCCACTGGGAAATCAATAAGGAAGCTCATAATTGTAGCTCTAAATCACCAGATTATGTTACGCCCCTCTTCAACCTCTACTGAGGCTGTGCAAAAGTCTTTGGCGTTGCTTAGTAATTAAAATAAAACCAATGTTTCTAAGAACTCTGCTGTCACAGTCTCCACTGTGGTGCAGCAGGGCTGAAGCAACCTATTGTGTGAAACAACTTCATCCTCCAAGAAACAGTGGCCACTGTAATGATTTAACAACAGTGTATTCACATACTGTATCTCATAAAGCACAGTCATTAAAAGCAGCTCACATTCTTTATACCAAAAACACACTTGAAAACCTAAATGTCGGAATGACTTGGATAAAAATAAAAATGCAGGGGGGAAGTTACACAGTTAATATCTAATGTGTTTTAGTCTTATTTATTTATTTTTGTCTGCAGATCTGTCCAGCTACATTCCCAAGCACTCGGTGGACTTCAGCGCCTGGCAGGAGCACAAACACGATGACGGCATTAACCAGGAGGATGCCGCCTCCCAGCAGACACAGAGAACTGAGGAGGTCATGGTGAGGGAAACGCCTTCAGCTGCCATACTTAAAGTTGGGTTTCAGACTCCACAGGAGGAGATGTGACCCCCTGTTTTTCACCTCCATCGATCAACTCAAAGTATTTGATTTACAAATATATGAAACAGAGAAAAGCAGCATATTTTACATCCATGAAAGTTGGTATGTTGCCATCTTATGATTTAATGAATTTTGGTTAAAATTATAGATGGATTATTGATTATAGATGGCACATTAAGGTACTGGGTCCTAAACTGAAACTTGTGATACTTCAGCAATTCAGACTGTTATACACGGCATCATTTTATAGAGTTGTAGGTGATACATTTAATGTGATGATTAGGAAAGGTTCAGGCTTCAGAATGCTTTGAACAAACAGTTTCAGACAGTGTTTTTCTTTTCCTATTACCCATGAATCTTCATTCAGAGGCATAGAGACTGGTTGGCAATTGGATGCTGGCAGTTGCTGGGTGAAATTGGTTTAAGAGAGGATGCTGCACTGTAAACCTCTGTGTGATTATTTTGGTCACTTGCAGATTGCCTTAACCGCCTGTAGTTTGCATTGAAGTTGCTGTCTTATCTTCAGACACTCGTCCTTTACTCTATGAAACTACAGCCAGCACATACCAGAAGGTGAATGGTCTCAGTTACACTTTTTCAATTTGTCTGCAAACATTTGAAGATAAGAAGCAAACTACTGGTAATCACAGCAACCTGCTAGCAAACAAAGCAATCACATGCAAGATTTCAGTGTGACCAACTTCATTCTAGTGATTGCAGCAACCTCCAGCGACCACATGTCAACCAGTTGGGGAATAGATCTGCTCATCTTGCAACCAAACTCATCTCTAGTGCCTAATATAGTCATTTTAGGCACTGAGGCCCCGCCCACCTGCTGTTCCAGCCTTATGTCTGTAAAGGGGCAGCCAATCAGAAGAAAGGTGACTTAAAAGTAGAGGACAGAGGTGAACTGAGGGCCTGCACCAAAACTCATATAGTAGTTTGATTCTTTCTATTCTTTCTTTATTGTAGGGTATCTTAGATTACATACCTTTATCTAATTCAAAGTATTTCTTTCTCTTTTCTCTCAGCTCACGCCGGCGGACAGCTCCTCCCTCACCGACTACAGCAGTGAGCCCGCTCTTTACTTCTGATCTGCCTGACCAATCAGCTGTACAGTAGCATCGCAGCATCTCACCCGTGGGACCAGACTGCCTCCACCTCGACACTCCAGCCGACTATAAGCACATCTTCCTGACCAGACAGGAAACATGGGTGTTTTATTTTTGTTTTTCTGGCTGATTTCCTGCCACGGCACCGCCACACGCCACGTTACCAGCTGCGCATTGGAGCTGCCGGGTGGCTGGCGTTCAATGCCCACCTTCTTTCTGAAGCTGAAGCAACAAATCTTAAAAAGAAAAGAAGGAGGAAAAAAAAAAAAAAAAGCAGCTGGGCTGTCTTTCCCAACCCGTGATCCTCTAACAGACAGTTGATCTGTCAGCGTCCAGAATCTTCCTCCTTGCCACGCTGTAGAAGTTTTTGCTGCTTTCGAGGTTCAAATTTAGCTTCAGGTTTTATTTTATTTTATTCTTTTTGGAGGATGTCGACGAGGGAAGGAGCCGACAGAGTTCAGTGTTATCGTGGAAGCGTGTCATTACAGCAGATTGGCGGCAGATACACATAAAAATGGTGAAAGGGTGCCACAAATGCATTTCTTTGTTCTCTTTTTTTTTTTCTTTTTTTTATCCGCATGTTTTGATTTGAATCCAGCACTTCTGTTGGTTCTGTCTTACTGTAAAGCTTCTCTATGCCTTTTTTTTTTTTGTTAGGTTTTGTATATTTTCTGGCAGACTATGTACTGATTGAAGCTGCTGGATTTTTTAATTTTTTTTTGGCAAGCAAACTTCAACACATGTCTTCTTCATGTGACGAGGGAGGAAACATATGCACCCCACCCCCCGGGATCAGTAGCACCTCTCATTCCTTATTAAATGCTTGATAAAGTGACCTTGGCCAACAATGTCTGTACGTCCGTATTGCTGAAATCACGTGTCCGTATATCTGCTCTGGAAAGCTGGTAGACCTCCCGATGCCTTTCCTCAGCTCTTTGTGTATTTATTCCTGCTTAACGTTGAAGTTTGCATGTCTGAAATCTGCTTTTTTTTGAGGGGGGGGTCGTTTTGTTTGTTTTTGTTTTTTTTGTACAGATGTTTGCTGGTGAGGGCTCCGAAAGATCCCCGCCAGACCAGTCGGACCTCATCTACTTTCACATTCCACAGGGAAAGAAGGCGGTCCACTTTGAAGGCAACAGTGATTGTGATTGATCATTAAAAGAAAAAAAAAAGGCGTTTTGTGAGAAAGAATGAAAGTTTGTGTGTGTGTCTGTGTGTCTTTTTTTTTTTTATTATTCATATTTTTATATGCTCATAATGCCAACTGATTAAAGAGTTCCTGTAAAGGCCTCGCATCCACTCTTCGGCCAGTATTGTTGTACTGTCTCCACTGGGATTCATCTCTTCTGCTTATTATTTCATGTATTTTTTTACATTTTATTTCTCCAATCAGATGCAATTTTTCTTTGCCATCAGGAGCTTTGTCTTTCTCTCTGATGGATTTACAACTTCTATGTTTCGTCCGGGAGTCTTGGTTGATAAATGTCTTTGCACTGTCATGCTTTTAGCTTTGTTTTGCACCTCATGAGGAAGTAAGAGTGGGCTGTAGAGGAAATGTGCACTTAAAAGAACGAGAAGCCTACAGACTGGTGACAAATTAGAGGAGAAGGTTAAAAGCGTCTCAATGACGTGCCTCCAAAACACGATGATGTCATCTAACACGTTGGAGACTGTAGCACTTAATTCTTAATGATGTCATCCTCATTAATCCATTCAGTGACATCCCACCTGTTTCCTTTCAAGATCGGGGAAGGGCATTATCCTGTAAGAGACCACTTCCATCAACCATGCCAGCAAAATTGCCCCTGAGGGCATATATGGGGTTAAAGGGTTCAGGCTTTTCCTTTAATTTGTCACCAACCTAAATTTGGTTGAAGAGTTACATTTCAAAGAAAACCCTGACTTAAGTCTAAGTCAGGGTTTTGATTGGGGTGAACTGATATATCAGTTTAGATTGCACTGATTGATATTTAGATATTCTGAAAGAAAAAGGTGGGGATAATCTGTGCATTTCTAATTTCAATCCCATGTCTCAGTCGGCATGAATGAATTAAAATTTGAAATGAAACTCTTCAGCCACACACAATTGAATGCATCGTGATGAATGCCATGACCACTTTGTTTTCTTTTGCCACTCTAGTCTTACGATTGTTTGGCCTTGTCACTGTGACCAAAAACAGCAGCCCGAAGTGCAGTTTCGCCACACAGGTCCACAGGGACTTCATCTTTGTCCGCCTACAAAATCTCTCCAACCCCCTGCTGGTGTACACCGATTTGAACTTTGGATGTTTACTTCATGCGCTCAATGTGACTGCTCAGCACCGCTTCTGTTTCAGAAGACTGAATGTAATTTTTTTTTCAATAAATTTCCTGTGGTATGATTATCAGCTTACCAGAAAACATCACATTGAACAGTGAGCCCTGTTATTGTTTCTCCAAACTTTAGCATGGCTGGATTTGACCTTCAATACATTTCTCTGAAAAGGTCTCAAACTGGCAAAAAGTTAGTAATAATGAACACATTTCCATCTATTGCAGTATACATTTTACTTGGTCTGGTTCAAAATAGCTGGACTTTCTTTGTGTTATGTGGCTTGACAAAGCCTCAATTCCCAATCAAGCGATAAAAGCTTTCACAACAGCAGTTATCAGCTTCCTTTATTAGTCCAAGCTTTCTGCTTCAGCCTGTGTGTGCACTCACGTACAAGGAGGCATTGGACACACTTTGGCTTACATTCTGCACAAAATCAATCAATTGAGCATATCCTGCTGATATTTTAGATATGAAAAGAGAGAAAACTTACAAAAAGACCCAGAAGTCTTCCCTGGTGCTGCTTAGTCAAGAGAGCCTTTCTGCAGAAAATCATTTAAACATTAAAGGGTACTCGGCCTGATGAAGTAATAGAAGAGGAAATCAGTTTTTTCCATCACCAACCAAATCTGTGCAAATTCCTGCTAGACGAAAATGCACAGTTTGTGCTGCTGTAACTTGAAAGCAGAGCTTCATTCAGTGGTAGTGGTAATATGGCACTCACAAGATTGAAGGTATAAAATATATAAACTTGGAATACAGATCACCTTTAAATTTAATTTACCAGATATAGTTTAAGCCTAGTTCAAGAGCAAAAAGCCAAATTTAGCCCATTGAACCTCCATGCCAGGGAAATCAAGCCTAAAAGTGAATCAGTAAATTCTGAAATCAAAACTCGTGAGGTTGGCTGCTCTGGATTGGGTTATGTGTCTGGCTTTTGTTACTAAAAGAAAGCCACCTCTGAAAACACTAAAAACTACGCTGGATTATACCTTGCTAACCCAATAATCTCTCCAATATCCTCCAATACACTCGACAATTCCCTGTCACTTGTAGCTGTGCAAACACAATCTGCAGAAACTCGACTACGGTGCGTCTCATGATCAAAGACAACAGATAATCAAGGATCACCTCAGAAAAAGCGAGGACCACTGATTGAAACTTGTTGTTCACTGTGGTGTTTACAGAGTGCTCTATCATATGAGAGGAAATGAATGAAAACTGCTTGAAACACAAAAATCTTGGGTATGTAAACGAAAACACCAAAAAAATGTTAAGTATGCTTGATTTGTAGGCATGGATATAAATCCTCCAAACACACTGATTAAAGGAGACCCATAATGCTCATTTCCATATTCTTATTTGTGGACCCTACCAGAATAGCTGTGCATGATAGAGAGGTTAAAGTAATTCTTAGTCTGAAATGAGCTGATTTAACTGCAGCTTACTTCTGATTGGCTGCCCCTCACAAGCAACCACAGGTGGGAGGGGCCTCTGTGCTTGAGATGACCATACTAGTGATATCCATGCTTTCTGATATCAAATAGAACCAAGAGTAGAAAAAACTGCTAGAAACTGAATGTTTTAAACAAACTTTTGTCTCTCAGAGTTTATGACCATAAAAGCATTGCGGGTCCCCTTTAACTGAGCCCTGCTTGGACCTCCTTTGGAATTGTGGCTAATGGTCACATGACACACCTGTGGATCCATCAACCTGTGGTAACTGCTGCCTCTGTTGACCAAAACCCACTCTGCGGTACTCTTTTTGCTCTCTCTGTGAACTGAAGGACCAAACTGTGGGCAAACTTCACTGATCTCGTCTTAAATGGCACCAGCAAGAACTTTTCTGATGGCCAGAGACGCAACACTCAACTTTAGCGCTTCTGAAGTGTACACACCGACTCTTGCCGCAGTGTCCCAACCCCGTCTTTGTCTATGCCTGATGCAAAATGAGCAGTTTGTGTTGGTCACTCTGTAGCAACACTGTGGTAGAAAGCTTGCTCATCTTTTACTTTCCACCCTCCTCTCGTCTGTAAATCTACATCGCAGCAGATGTGCTTACTGTAAAGTTATTGTCAATGATTTGGGCAAGTGAAAAAAAAAAAGTGATGTCATACTTGTACAAATGAAAGCTCAATAAATAGAAGACTTGAAGAAATGCGAGTGCTCTAGCCTTTCTTGTCTATGAATTAAACTATGCGCCAAGTATGACTTCTACGCATATGGGTTACTTTATTATTTGGGAATGTCTGATGGGGAAAAAATAAGCTTAAATCCCTTAAAAAACAAAACCTGTTAGAAATCTCAGTTCTAATAAGTCTAAAGTGGTGGATGAACCACATGGGAACAAACATTTTTATACACAACAAAACAAGGACATTAATCTAGAACACAAATAGGAAAAAAAACCCTCAGTGGGTAGAAGCAGCCCTTTTGGAGCCATGCAAACAGAATAAAGGTGACAAAAGGTGCACTAAAGAGGCGACAGCGTCCCCCAAAAGAAGAGGAATTGTTTGGTGAACTGAGTAGAAACCATCGCGCTCTCCTCAACTTGCACAGGTAGTCTTCCTCCCCTCACCCCAACTGGTCATGGCAGAGTGTTGAAGAGATCCCAGGAGTCACCACTCTACTTGACACTGGCATTCACCAACAATATGCTTTCCCAAAATACCAATTGACCCACTGCCAAACCCATCACGTGTCATACGGTGTGAAGTCTGCCACAGCATCTCCAGACTCTGCTGGTGGTCTCTGGAGAATGCCAATTAAGCTGAATGAGAACTATGCCTATGCCTCTCACTCAACAAACAAAACAAACAAATTGGAGTTTTAACACAAAGAAAATGTTAGGAAATACATTTATTGAATCCAGAAACTTACAACAAAGGTTTAAATATATTAAAAATTAGTCCAAAGTGGGGAATAAACTGCCTCAGAAGCCACAGTCAGGTGAGGTCAGGTGCACAGTTTTGCTCCTCGCCTTCAGTGCTCCGTCCTCCGAGGCTCCGTGGCTTTACTGAGGTTTCCTGCCTCCTGCTTTAGGACGCTCAGGAGAGACTGGGAGCTCTCCAATATCTGCAGGAGTAAAAACAAAACAACATGAACTAACTTGTGCAGAAACTCAGAGGAAGTGTGGGGTGCACTTTAGAAGCAATTAAAGAAGGGGTCCAGGCTTGGCCAATTTGTTGCTTTTTAATCAGAGCAGCTCAGGAGTGTTTGTTTACAGTGATTAAGTGAGAGCACAAAGGGAGTTCAGCGTCAGCAGGTGGGATCTTACTGACATCCAGTACAGCAGCCAAAAGCTTCTGTGGCCATACCCAACTTTTAATTAGTTCTTGAATCAACGCTTGAGACAGAGCTTTTCTGGTTGATGCAGACAGTCCAACAAACAGCTATTGTTTTAACACCTTATAACCACTGATCCATTACTCATGCACTAATAAAGGTATCCCACCCCCGCCTCTCCTTCCTCCGAACGTCTGCAGCTGGTATTACCCAGCAAACTTGGGTGAGAAGCAGTTGTGGTATGAGGCTGTTGTGCCAAAAATTACTTGCAATTTTGAGTTAGAAATAACATTTCTGTCACAAGGTAGAAGCAGCCATGGTGTGACTACATAAGATCCTTTATATTACAAAGACCCTACAATCAGATGACCTATCAGCAAGCACTTGGCAACAGTGGGAAGGAAAAACTCCCTTTTAACAGGAAGAAACCTCCGTATAATGCAGAATAATATATAATACAGAACATCAATCAACATGGAAATTCTTGCTGGGTTTGCTGTTATGCAGAGCTCCGTTTGTTCTCCATTCGCCATGCACCTGTTATGTGATATTGATTAACTTTGCAGAAGAGCCACATGAATTTAAATTTTTTAAA